TCTTATTTCTTATTTCCATTTACTTTTATTTATCATATACTCATAGACTCTTGCTACATATTCTATATATATATATTCCCTATTTGATGTACTATTTATTTATCTCCATTAATTTATCTAAATTCTCATTTCCAAGTATAATTTTATTATACTAGTTCATCTACAAAGTGTATTCCCACTATACAATCATAACTATTCTATTCATATAATCCTATAATCCATCATTTTATTACATATACTTATGGAATTCGTAACATTTCTCATGTAATTACTTGAAACATATCATATAAGTTCATTATAATCTCATATATTCCAACATATCAAACTAATATAATTTTTAACATAGATAATAACATATGCAATACATACAACCATTACACTCATTTTCAAACACACAATTACATAACAATCATATCAAATTTATTTCTATTATCTCTTTATTAGCCTATGTACATCTGTGAAAATTGTAGATATGTGAGCCTATTGAGGTTGTGCACTATGCTGTCACCACAGCTTGTATGGGGTCCCACTAGGGGCAATGAAATTTGTCCCGAATGACAACTATGAAATATCCCGAAGGATCGTTGTATGTCCCGAATGACCGCATAGACCCTCGACTCTTGGCATGCCAACTATACCTATAGCTCTCGTATCATATAACATGCCCATTTTCACTTATATCATTTCACATATACGCTTTCATATTACATGTCATATAAGCTCATAGCTTCTTTTTATATTCTCATAGAATCACATAGCTCATATCTTATACCTTGTTTTCTCATGTTCACATATATCATGTCATATGGCTCATATCTTATTCCTTGTTTTCTCATGTTCACATATATCATGTCATATGGCTCATATCTTTCTCATGCAGTCACATAGCACATACTTCTCATATCATTACATTCAAAAGCATGTTAACACATATAATCATGCATACATACAATTCATGTCATTCATATACGTATAATCATATATTCATGCATTCTAATATAGGAAATAGACTTGTCGCAAGTCTTGTTTCCATTTAGCACCATAGACTAACTAATATGCACTCACCTGGGCCACACTAAGTTCCAATCCACATTTATGATTTCCTTTCTTTCGATCGAATCTTAACTTGATAATCGTTCCAGAACTTGTTCGTGCTCGATATCTACATAATCATGTACTGATACTTATCATTATCCAATTAATATACTTTAATCTATCATTTCTTAGAATGAAAGAAAGATTTATTCCATTTCTCATTGAAGTGCATCGATACATTCTACAGTGTATCGATGCATCCTTTAACATGTGCATCGATGCACTACCATGCATCAATAAACCAATCACCTTCGATGTTTTCATTTTAAGGGGGTGCATCGATGCACTAATTGCATTCGATGTTTCTTCTTTAAAGAGTGCATCGATACACATTGAATGTGCATCGATACACCTTGCCCAGAATTTGCATTTTAACCCCGAAAACTATCAACTTTTCACTCAATTCTTTTATTTTAAGCCCCTATCATGTCATTAAACTCAACTACCATTACTTAAACCAACTTATATCCATATAAACCATCTTTATCTTCCATATATCATTATGATTCTTAAAATTTAAGAATCTTACTAAACTTTCAACTTTGTTATTAATCTTTTCTAACTTCATAAATTTCTTATTCTTATTGATGACAAGTTAAATTCAACTTCCAATTCTTATTATAAACTCTATTTCAATATTTCACTCAAGAACTGTAAATTTTTAATCTTCCTTAACTCCTTTATCTTTTGATTTTAAGATAACTTAAGCTTTCCTTAAGCTTAGTTATCATCTAATGATCATAACCCAACCTTAAATTTATCCAAAAATTATCTAAATAGAAGACTCACCTTTTGTTCAAGCCTTCACGTATGAAAAAGGAAGAATAGAAGATAAGAGAACTCTGGAACTTTTTCTCTCTTCCCACGTGGTTTCCTTATCTTATAAGGGAAAATAAAAATCTTCCTTGTCAAATGACCATTTTAGCCTTTACTTCATTTAATAATTACTAACAACTTTATGATTTATTTCCAAATAAATCATTGAACTAATTCATTTTTCTACTCTAGTCACCAAATTCTGAAACTTTACAATTTGATCACTAACCAGGTATTGAGGATGTTACACATCTTATATGGCACTTCGGTGCATTTCTACGCGGCACTTAGGTGTAATTATACGTGGCACTTCGGTGCATTTATAAGAGCTGTGGTGACAACATTAGTACACAACCTCTATATACTCACATATCTATAGTTCTCACATGTGTACATGGGCTAATAAAGAAGATGATATAAAAGAACCTTGTATGATATTATGTGCTTTGTTTGTAATCTTTATGGTGAAATGATATATGTGATATGATGGTGATCTGTATATAGCTTGGTTAAGAAGAATAGGTACAAGAACATATGACTAAAAGATAAAGAACGAAAATAAGACTATTAAAGAGATAATGGGAAATTTATTACATACGCTTTATATGTTTTGTGTTAGGAAATATGTTACCAGAATTATATGATGATATGGGTATTTTCTTTGTGAAACAATATGTACATATATGATATACAAAATGTAATAAGAATAATATATATTAAACAAGAGTAATAATAATAATAGGTAAGAAGGAAATGGTATATATATATATATATATTTATGTTTGGATGCATTTTATGGTTTATAATGATTACATGAAATGTGCATAATAGGAATTAGTTATGATATGCTATAGTTAGTTTGTTTATGCCTCACTAAGTCATAGACTTAGTGTGTGCACGTAGGTTACAGAAGCGAGAAGAGAAGCGAAGAAGAGCAAGACAGGTCAGCATCTCCCTTACAAAATTTCAGATCAGAAAATAGATGATTTAAATGTGTTTGGTTATTTTGAATATAGTTGGCATGCACTAATTGATTGAGTTAAATATGCTCTGATCGATTTTGGTTACTGTGGTCAATTTATATAAATAAATCGCTTTTACTTTAATGAAAGTTTTAAATTTTCTTTGAATTTTGTCAAGAGTCAAAGTTAGAAAAGTCAATGTGACACCTCAGACTCGTATTCGGGTCGGGTCGGGTACGGGTCTGGGGGTGTTACAACTTCGTTATCAATTTCGGGTATTATTTTTCCGCTTTTATTTCGCATTCTCACTAATCTGGTTATAGAGAAATTACTTGGTTATTTCCCAACAGACTGAAATGTTGTAGAAGTGAACTTTGAAAAGTTCAAAGGATGATAATAAAACGTGTCATATTACCAATTTTTTTCGCCACCCTATTAACCTAAAATTTGTTGAAAGATTAAGGATTTGGACACTTAATGCCATCATATCACGTGCGGCAATTGTTGGTCTTGCTACAAATATTGAACTACCAAACTTATCCATTGGTATATTCCTTTATGTATGACAAAAATAAGCCATGTGTTCCTTTTATGTTAAGTAAAAGTTTTATTATCCATAGTTCAATGACTGGATTTGGGGCATTGGAGAACAAGTTGAGGCTCTGCATGCTCATTTCCACATCAGATAAGTTGTGCCTCTTTGCCATTTCAAAAGAGGTTTCTTCTGATCATAAATGGACCCGCTTGGTCATATTTAGTTTGCTTATCAGTTCTTCACCATCCTTTGACTGATAGAAAAATGGTGATCAAATGGTGAAACTTGACAATTGTCTTCCTTTCTTATATATTTATATATAATATTAAAGCAGCGGAAGCTACAATGCCAATTCAGAAAGCTTCTAATCCACATTCTCTTACAACCCATGATGTCTGTTAGGATCTTTCCACAAAATCTTTTTATTTAAATATTATCTCATTTCTTTTTTGATGAGCAATAGATGACTCATGCAAACACAAAAGCTAGATTCAACCACCATACATATATCCCTTTAAATACCACTACTCGAATCCAATGATTCATCAATCACCGCAAAATAAAACATCTCTTCCTTTATCTTAGAAGCTGATAGATAACAAGATTTCTATTTTGTTCATCAAAATGAAGAACCAGATACTAGATCATGTCATCGGAGTTACAATCAAATCGACGATGTGTCAAGTTGAGAGAAGGCCAAGACGATAATTACTGGAGATCGTCGGCCAGTATCGGATTCCATCATCTGCTAAAGGGTCCAACACGTCTAGAACAAGTAGGTGCTCCCTTTTAATCTGTGATGGGTTAAGAAATTCATGATGAATATGTTTTATAATACCAATTAGAAAGTTCTGAAATTTCAGGCAAAGGGAATTTCATACTTTAAAGGTTGAACAGACTTCGGAAGAAAGTTGATACTTTCGCACATGGAATCCGTGAACATGATAAGATACACTCTAAAGTCTAAACATATATATAAGCATGTATGCATGAATGTATGTATATGAAAACTGAGATCATCTTTGAATATGCGAGGCTAGGGCCAAAGGTCAGTGAAACAATGAAGGGATAGTTGAGTTTGGGGTAAGAATTCTTCAAGTAAGAGGTGTGAATAAGATATTCAAACAATTGTTTAGCGTTAGAGAAGGAAAGAAGCTGATGAAGGCATGCCATTGCCATTTATCAGCAACAGCAGGCCCCATAACTGGTTTACTTTTCATCTCAACTCAAAAGGTTGCCTTTTGCAGTGACAGATCAACCAAAATCCCAGCTCCTGATGGTGAATTCCTCAGAGTCCATTACAAGGTTTGTATATTTCATCTGTTTTGGTTTCCCTCTCAGACTGCATAATTTTGTACCCTTCAATCCTCATGTTTTTGTATGTTAATTTTGATATTCAGGTTATGATTCCACTTGAGAAAATAAAGGGAGTTAATGAGAGTGAAAACATGAAGAAACCATCAAAAAGTACATGGAAATCGTGATGGTAGACGATTTTGATTTCTGGTTTATGGGGTTTTTGAATTATCAGAAAGCTTTCAAATACCTTCAACAAGCAATCTCCCAAACACTACTACATGATGCACTGCTACAAGTCTCTTTCTAGGTGGCTTACAAATGTCTCATCAAATTGTTCTTGTTCATGAAATGCAAAGAACAGTATCTTACAATTGTAAAACGATTTGTTTTTCCAATTAAACTTTAGATGAAGGAAGATTAATGACTACACTGAATAACTGCATTTAATGAAGAAATCCATTTGTGCAATACATAGTTGCCTATTGTCAGTCAACTTTAGCTTATACATACGCGAAAAGAGTATAACAGATATAGCTTAAATATACTACAATGGCTACCATTCTCAACTTCCATTTAATGACCTGACTTTCTGCCCTTTCAAGACCCTTTCTTCCCAAACCAATTGTTCTTAAATCATGAAACTAAAAGAGGACTGATGACCGGTGGTTGGCAACATAATTGTTTGTTGGTTGCCAAATTCTAGGTTGTGACGAAAAGACATGAACAATAATGAAAAGAAGAAATTGGAAACAAACCGTAATAGTTAATACCAAATAGGCGGCGATAATTAATCTGAGGTTTTATCATAATAGACATTCAGCATTTCAACGACAGAAAATGCTCAAACATTCTGGACATAAGTTATCTTCCCATTTAAAATTTGAGAATTCACTTTTTTTAAAGGAAATAGGCCTTCGTTAAAAACCCATTTCTTAACCGTTATGCTAAAAAGTATCTTAACGGGCATTGAAAGGAGGAAAAGAGTGCCTGAAATTTATTAACATCAACAAAGAGTACAACCTAGGTAAACACTCCCTAGATTACAACCTTACTCATAAACACACCTATCCCATGACAGGATAATTACATTCCCAACAAAAACCAAAAAATAGAATACAAAACACATCAAACATTACCCAATTCTCGCCTTAGCTAAACTATATGCTTCACAATTATTACTTCTCTTTACAAACCTAAGTAGCACATTGGAAACCAACACAGTCGTAGCTAATTACTAGAATACTAAACACAGCAAGACAACACTCTGGATTTTTAATCCAATTCACAGCAACTAAAGAATCACTCTCCAAAATGAGATGCCCCTTGTCTTTCCACTTTGAATCCAAAAACATATTCAGTCCAGCTTTAATAGCTTTGAGTTTGGCCAGGACCAGCGGAACAGGTCCAGCCGCGACTGAGAAAGACCCCTGGTGATTACCTTCTGAGTCCCTAACCAGCCCACCAATCCCACTGCTCCTCCAATCATAACCCACTGCAACATCCACATTAACTTTAAACCAGCCCGAAGTGGGAGGACACCAACCTATCAAAAGAAGAAATTCCTTCAATGAACTCTTGTGCAAATCAGCCACATAAGGTCACCTACAAGAAGATCAAAAAACAACTGGAAACCTTGAATTTTTTGCCAAGAACCAAGTAGTCACCCTAAATCTAACCAGAAAACTCAAGTAGGTAAAATCCAACCTTCCATTTTCAAAAACCAATTTATTTCTACATAACCAAACAGACCACATGACTGCTACTATAATAAATTTCCAAATCTCATAATACGGAAAAAATTCAAACCACACAGAAAAGAATTCAATGGGACTATTTGGCAATACAGTACATACATTCCACATCCTCAAGAACCGCACTCACACACCCCAAACTAATCTACAAGAGAAGAATAAATGACAAACCGACTCTACATCCGACCCACATAACGGGCAGAGAGGATCATCAATTCAGCTAACACCTCGCCTAATCAAGGCATACTTAACTGCCAACTTTTGGTGAAAAATCTGCCAAAGAAATGTTTCAACTTTAGGAGCTAAACCAACCCAAACAAACTTTGACCAACTAAAATCCGAAACCAAGGAGCTTGAAGCTACTTTTATACTCGATTGAACCAAATAAACTCATTACCCATTTCCTCTCCAAACACAACAATCATCATCACCTGCACTCATACTGACAGTGTCTAATAACGAAATTAATTCCATCCAATGATCTACCTCCCAATCAAACAGATTTATTCTCATCTGAATATCACACACCCATCTTCCGTAATTAACTGACACAAATTCTGTTATAAACCCATCTTTGTTAACAGATAGAGCAAAGAGCCTAGGAAATCTCAACCTCAGGGGAAGGATATCGATCCATTCATCCTGCCAAAATCGTATCGAATTCCCTTTCCCTACTTGCAGCAACAAATGATTGCGAAGCTCTTTGCTAAAAATGTCATCTGACCAGAAATTATTGTAAACTCCCTTCCAAAGCCAAGACTGGGCGGACATAGTAGAACTCAACCTTATATCTCTTCTATCAAAATCATACTTGGAACACACCATCCTTTTCTACCAAGATTCTTTTTCGCTCCCAAATTTCCAAACCCACTTACCCAATAATGCTTTATTCATAAGCTTTAAATCATTGACCCCCAGTCCCCTATACTGTCTTTGTTTGCATACATGCGACCAATTTACCCAATGAACTCTGGTTCTCTGTGAATTGCTTCCCCATAAAAAATTTGCATTAACTGAATTCAACAATCTATAAAATTGAAGAGGCGTTTTAAATAGAGACATAGTATATAGGAAGCGTAGAAAGGATCGATTTCACAAGCACAAGCCTACCAGCAAGGGAAAGTGTTGAAGATTTCCATCCAGCTAATCTCTGATAAAATCTGTGGATAATCGACTCCCATAAGACTTTCGAATTTCGCTTGTATCCAAGAGGGAGCCCGAGATACTCTGTCGGAAACACATCAGCCCTACATCCAATAGATTCAACTCAATCATTAACAATCGAGTCGTCCAAATTTACACAAAAAATTTTGCTTTTCGACAGATTCAACTTTAGCCTTGTGCACATCTCAAAAATAATCAGAATTATCTTAACATTCTTCAATTGTCCTTCAGACGCGCCACAAAAAATAATTAAATCATCAACGAATTGCAAATGAGATTACAAAAACGAATTCCTTTCTCCACCAATCTTAAAACCATTAAACAATCCCAACTCAACCGCCTTTGACAACATCAGGTTAAGCAACTCACCTACTAAATTGAACAACATAGGCGATAGACTGCATCCTTGGCGTAAACCCCTTGAATCTTAAAGCTTTCTGTCGGAGACCCATTAACTAGAACGGAAATAGTCGATGAAATGCACTCAAAGATCCAAGAACACCATTTTTGGCCAAAACCCATGTACTTCATAATCTTCATCAAAACAATCCAATCAACTAAATCATAAGCTTTCTTGAAATCCACTTTAAAAGCAATACCTCTTCTACCTTTTTTCCTTCAGTAGTCGATGCCTTCATTCGCAATAAAAGAGCAATCGTAGATTTGCCTCCCCGGGATAAATGCGAACTGTGAATGGCCAATTATTGAATCTAAACACATCCTTAGTCTCATAGATAGCACTTTCGATAAAATCTTGTACATTCCTCCTACCAAACTAATTGCCCTATAGTCTTCAATTTCAACTGGATTTGGCTTCTTCGGAATCAGCGTGATAAACGTATGATTCACACCGTTTCGCAGCTTCTTTCCCAAGTAAAAATCCTCAAAGAACTTCAAAATATCTTCCTTTAGTGCTGGCTAGAATTTTTTTAAAAACCCCATGTTCAAACCATCCGGACCCGACACCTTAAAGCTATATGTCGAATTAATAGCCTCCAAAACTTCCTCATCTGAAAACTTTCGTTCCAACAATGAGCATTGATCATCGGTTAAAACATTGAATGGCAAATCAAACTTCACCACCTCCAAAGTTGGCTTTAAATTATAATTCTTCTTAAAAAATCCACAAACACTTTTTTTATCTCAGCCGGATTCGAAATGACCATTCCATTCACTTTCAAAATATTCAGGCCATTAACTCTTCCCCTATTTGAAGCGCACTGATGGAAATATCGAGAATTTCGATCACCGTCTTGAATCCACTTCGCTCGAGATTTCTAAAACCAAATTTGTTCCTCTTATTTTTACAAATACCACAACTCCTTCTTTGCTTTCACAATATCCTCCATCGATACCTGAGAAGACCCCTATTGCGCTGCTGCCTCCATTTCAGAAATAGATTTTTCCATTTTCACAATCAAATTCAGCAATTCCAGATGCTTATTAGAGGACCAACATTTAATTGAATTCCTCAATTCTTTTAACATATTCAATTCCTCTATTTTTTACCTTCTTCACCTCTTTAATCTTTAACTCCATCATCTGTTGGAAACCATCTTCATTCATAAGATAATTGAATAATTTAAATGGCTTCGAACCCCAATTGACCTCCTTCCTCTCCCACACCACTGCATTATGGTCTGATAAAGACATCGGAAGTAGGATTTGAGCAATATCTGAAAACATGGAAAAAATATGTATTCGCTAGAAACCTATCCAATCTAACAAACGAAGGTTCATCCATTTATTACTCCACGTGAAACAACCACCCGTCAACGATAAATCCACTAATTTTACCCGAAATACAAATTCCCGAAACACTCTCATCGAATGCAAATTCTGCGATTTTCCAATTTTCTCCTCCTGAGAAAAATAAGAATTAAAATCACCTCCCACACATAATGGACAGTCCACCTCTGCCAAGAAACTAAGCAATTCCTTAAAAAAGATCTCCTTCTTTGATTCAATAATTGGTCCGTACACGTTAACAAAACAAATGTTCTCTTGTGTATCCTTGAATTTCCCTTTTATTACTACAAACTTTTTCGAGATTTCTAACACCCGAAAATAAAATAAAAAATCATCCCAAAGGCTCATCAGACCACCAGAAGTTCCTTCTGTAGGAGAAACTGCGATCCCACGAAGCGTCTTCTCCCCTAAACTCCTCAACAAAGCTGGTTTCACCACTTCAACTTTCGTCTCTTGCAAGAATAACACCAGTGGTTTTCTGTTAACAATCATTCTTCTTGCTACTCTCACCTTTTCTTTCCTCCCTAGACCCCTAATATTCCATGTAACACAAGAAAATTCAATCATAATGTCAAAAGCTTATGCACCTAAAAACAAAGAAATGAGATTAAATCTCATTCTCCACACCCGGGTTCAAATCCAAATACTTCTGAGCAAACGACTTCTTTCCACCCTGAAAAGTGACACC